GCTATGGAAGAGGAACAAGTATTACCTGACATGATTGAGACTGATTTGAAAGTGGATTTAAGCATGACAGGCTACAAGAATGACTTGGAAAAAGATGTTACACTGGACATACAAAAGAAACTGGCTGATATCAACAATTAAAAGGGATATACAAACAATAAACCAAGAGAGTGACTTGGATAATTTTCCTATATTGGATTTACAAAAGAGGCTCGTTAAAGCTTTGAAGAATTTTGTGAGAAGGGACAAAGAAAAAATGAAAAGAAATCAAGTTCTAAGACATTTGAATGGACTAAGCAATAATTAAAAGGGATATACAAACAATAAACCAAGAGAGTGACTTGGATAATTTTCCTATATTGGATTTACAAAAGAGGCTCGTTAAAGCTTTGAAGAATTTTGTGAGAAGGGACAAAGAAAAAATGAAAAGAAATCAAGTTCTAAGACATTTGAATGGACTAAGATTAAGTTTGTTAAACGTAAAAGGAAGGAATATAGAGTTGGTTTATTTGATCAAGGTTAAAACAGATATATTGTTATCTCTGGTAACCCTTAATGGACTTTTGCTGGTCAGGGACTGAATAATGAGGTTTTAAGGATTTGTTTATAGATAAAAGATGGGATATGGGAAGAAGAGATCATTTCTTGTATTTTAAGAGAAGGTGATAAGTTACTAAAATTGTTTATGCTTGTGATGAACGGGGAAGTCATTTCTTTATATATTTCTTTTCTTTTTCTTTACTATATTATTTTTTCTTTTCCCTTTTTCTCTTTTTTTCTTTTCTGCACCTTCTATTTTTTTAGTTTGTATTAGTTTTTATTTTTATAAATTATAATCTTTAAATTGCTATAATAAATAAAGGAAATAGCAGATCTACCTCACATCATAATATGTCTTATGCCAGCCCCCTTCACACCTTTTTTATTCATTCCTGAGTCAGGAAAAGCAGTTGGCAGAAGAGATTTATATATATTTGTGTGTGTGTGTGTGTGTGTGTGTGTGTGTGTGTGTAAAATAAATTTTTAACAAAGTAAAAACCAGAAAATAAAATAAAGAAAAATAGTAAATAATGGAAAAAGAAAATGGAAAAAGAGATAGAAAAGAAAAAGAAAGAAAGTAACGGGGGAAAAATTATAAAGAAGTGGCTTCCAATCTTCTTGACAGTGGTTATAGATACATTTATATTTGCCCTCTTTCTCTAAAGATTTCCTTCTTTCCATAAGCTACCCTTTCTAATCTTCAAACCCATAAGTCACAAGTTCATTTTTCTCTTTTTTCAGCAAAAAGTCCATAAGGGGGAAAGGCAGATGGCAGAAGAAATTTCTGAGGCTGGAT